CTGATCGGCCTTGTTTGTCCTTCTACCTTTGTACTACTTCGACATCTTTCTCAATTTCTCGAGAGCGCAAGCTGTGTGGCTGGCTAGCTCGTTGTTTCCTCTTTCTTCAGCTACCTCTACGCCATCATGAAGCTCAGTTGGCTTGAGGCGGCTGCCTTGACGGCTGCCTCAGTCGTCAGCGCTGTATGTTACTTTTTCTGCGTCCTCGATGCTTCTAGAGATTTAACGTGAGGCTGACAACTCGTGCTCTACAGGATGAATTGGCGTTCTCTCCTCCTTTCTATCCCTCCCCTTGGGCCAATGGCCAGGGAGAGTGGGCGGAAGCCTACCAGCGTGCAGTGGCCATTGTCTCCCAGATGACTCTGGATGAGAAAGTCAACCTCACCACCGGAACTGGGTAATGATACCACAATTGTCACGAGATGAGTCGCCTGCTAACAAGCTCCTAGATGGGAGCTGGAGAAGTGTGTCGGTCAGACTGGTGGTGTTCCAAGGTAGGACCCTACTAAACTAAACATGTTTTCTAGTCGGCTAACTGGCGACTGCTGTCTAGACTGAACATCGGTGGCATGTGTCTTCAGGACAGTCCCTTGGGAATTCGTGATAGTAAGACTTGATCTAACTCGAGCCCGGCCGGTGACACTCTTGCTAACAATGTGTCCTACAGGTGACTACAATTCGGCTTTCCCTGCTGGTGTCAACGTTGCTGCGACATGGGACAAGAACCTCGCTTATCTTCGTGGCCAGGCTATGGGTCAAGAATTCAGTGACAAAGGAATCGATGTTCAATTGGGCCCGGCCGCGGGTCCCCTCGGCAGGAGTCCTGATGGCGGTCGTAACTGGGAAGGTTTCTCTCCAGACCCGGCTCTTACTGGCGTGCTCTTTGCGGAGACGATTAAGGGTATTCAAGACGCTGGTGTCGTGGCAACAGCCAAGCATTACATTCTCAATGAGCAAGAGCATTTCCGCCAGGTCTCAGAGTCTGCGGGCTACGGATTCAATATCTCCGACACGATCAGCTCAAACGTTGATGACAAGACCATTCATGAAATGTACCTCTGGCCCTTCGCGGATGCTGTTCGCGCAGGCGTTGGCGCCATCATGTGTTCCTACAACCAGATCAACAACAGCTACGGTTGCCAGAACAGTTACACACTGAACAAGCTTCTGAAGGCCGAGCTCGGCTTCCAGGGCTTCGTGATGTCTGACTGGGGTGCTCACCACAGTGGTGTTGGTTCTGCTTTGGCCGGCTTGGATATGTCAATGCCTGGCGATATCACCTTCGATTCTGCCACTAGTTTCTGGGGTACCAACCTGACCATTGCTGTTCTCAACGGCACCGTCCCGCAGTGGCGCGTTGACGACATGGCTGTTCGTATCATGGCTGCCTACTACAAGGTTGGCCGCGACCGCCTGTACCAGCCGCCTAACTTCAGCTCTTGGACTCGCGATGAATACGGCTTCAAGTACTTTTACCCTCAGGAAGGCCCCTATGAGAAGGTCAATCACTTTGTCAACGTGCAGCGCAACCACAGCGAGGTTATCCGCAAGTTGGGAGCAGACAGCACTGTTCTACTGAAGAACAACAATGCCCTGCCTCTGACCGGAAAGGAGCGCAAAGTTGCGATCCTGGGTGAAGATGCTGGATCCAACTCGTACGGTGCCAATGGCTGCTCTGACCGTGGCTGTGACAACGGTACCCTTGCCATGGCTTGGGGTAGTGGCACTGCCGAATTCCCATACCTCGTGACTCCTGAGCAGGCTATTCAAGCCGAGGTACTCAAGCACAAGGGCAGCGTCTATGCCATCACCGACAACTGGGCGTTGAGCCAGGTGGAGACCCTCGCTAAACAAGCCAGGTAAGGCCTGCCGTCTATACCGCTTTTTCTTTTTCATTCTTATGTTTCCGGTGAACTGACAAGTGTCTCCGTAGTGTCTCTCTTGTATTTGTCAACTCGGACTCGGGAGAAGGCTATATCTCTGTGGACGGAAACGAGGGTGACCGCAACAACCTCACCCTCTGGAAGAACGGCGACAACCTCATCAAGGCTGCTGCGAACAACTGCAACAACACAATCGTTGTCATCCACTCCGTTGGACCGGTCTTGGTTGACGAGTGGTATGACCACCCCAATGTCACTGCCATCCTCTGGGCGGGTTTGCCTGGCCAGGAGTCTGGCAACTCCCTGGCTGATGTGCTCTACGGCCGCGTCAACCCGGGCGCCAAATCGCCATTTACCTGGGGTAAGACGAGGGAGGCGTACGGGGATTACCTTGTCCGCGAACTCAACAACGGCAACGGGGCTCCCCAAGACGACTTCTCGGAAGGTGTTTTCATTGACTACCGCGGATTCGACAAGCGCAATGAGACCCCGATCTATGAGTTCGGACATGGTCTGAGCTACACCACTTTCAACTACTCTGGCCTTCACATCCAGGTTCTCAACGCTTCGTCCAACGCTCAAGTAGCCACTAAGACTGGCGCTGCTCCCACATTTGGACAAGTCGGCAATGCCTCTGACTATGTGTACCCTGAGGGATTGACCAGAATCAGCAAGTTCATCTACCCCTGGCTTAACTCCACCGACCTCAAGGCCTCATCTGGCGACCCGTACTATGGTGTCGACACCGCGGAGCACATCCCCGAGGGTGCTACCGATGGCTCTCCCCAGCCCGTTCTGCCTGCGGGTGGTGGCTTCGGTGGTAACCCCCGCCTCTACGATGAGTTGATCCGCGTTTCGGTGACAGTCAAGAACACTGGTCGTGTTGCTGGTGATGCTGTACCTCAACTGGTAATTAAATCTCCCGTGCAGTATTAATCCCGCATGCTAACCATTTGCCAGTATGTTTCCCTTGGTGGACCCAATGAGCCCAAGGTTGTGTTGCGCAGATTTGACCGCCTTACCCTCAAGCCCTCCGAGGAGACGGTGTGGACGACTACCCTGACTCGTCGCGATCTATCCAACTGGGACGTCGCGGCTCAGGACTGGGTCATTACTTCTTATCCGAAGAAGGTCCATGTCGGTAGCTCTTCGCGTCAGCTGCCCCTTCACGCGGCGCTCCCGAAGGTGCAATGAGCGGTGGAAGGTGTTAGGGAAGGGCTTTGAGCCTGGGCCTGAGGCCTGAGGCTGCAGATGGAGATGATGTACACATTTTTCACAAGTTGTAGAGACCACGAATTTAATGACTATGATGCTGTCAATATGAACCATGCATTCGAGCGGTAGATCAAGTGTATCGTAATGATAGCGTAATAGTCGCAGGCTTGTTGTGGCTGTGGCGGTGGTTGTGGCGGTGGTTGTGGTTGTGGTTGTGGTTGTGGTTGGAAGAATCTGGTTAGGGCGGGCGGAAAGGCAGGCAAGCAGGCAGCGACGTCATCCGACTTCCGCCATTTGCATTTCCTCTTCCTCTGTATCATCATCGTCCTTTTGTACCATCGGCCTTTGTATCATCTTCCCCTTGTTTCCATTCCATTGTCCCTTAATTCCTCAAATACATGCACTCCCCAATTCTACTCAGATAGAACAGTTATTTCATCCTCTAGACATTTTCGAAGCAATACACCACAAGACGAGTACAATCACCCGGACAACAGAAGGGAAAAAACCACGATGCCATCCGCGGACAATCCCCCTTCTCCCGCCGGAATAGCAGCAAAAACAACCCCGACCCCATCACGATCGCTCCAGCCCCCGATCACCGCTCTTCTCATCTATCCTCTCACCCTCGTCGTGGGGTCTCTTTTCTCCGTCCTCTCGCCAACTGCCTACGGCAGCCGTGATCCGAGCTCCAGCAGCAGCCCACTCCAGAACCACCCACCCCCCTTCGCGCCAACCATCGCTTCGGACCTGCACCTCTCCTTTCCCGCCGCCGTCAAGCCCGTCAACTATTTCGCGCGCAAGGACAACGTCTTCAACCTCTACTTCGTGAAGATCGGCTGGCTCTGGACGACGCTCGCCTTCGTCCTGCTCCTCCTCACCCAATCCGCCTACACCGGGATCGGCGGTCGCGGTGGCGCGGGCGGCCACACTGCCACCGCTGCTGCTGCGCACCGGTCCCGCCGCACGACGCAGGCCGTCATCCGGTACGCGCTCGCCACGACGGTGTGGTACCTGACGACGCAATGGTTCTTCGGGCCGGCGCTGATCGACCGCAGCTTCGTGCTGACGGGGGGGAAGTGCGAGCGGGCGATCCCCGAGGCGGAGAATCCTTACACGACCACCGACTTCGGGACGCTGGCGACGGCCGTGGCGTGTAAGGGGGCTGGCGGGGCGTGGCGCGGCGGGCACGATGTCAGTGGACATGTGTTCATGTTGGTGTTGATGACTTCGTTGATTGGGTTTGAGGTCTGGGGCGCCAGGCTGTCCCGGGAGGAGGTGGATTCGAAGGAGAAGAAAGAGGGGGAGAAGACGGATGCACTTGATAAGGATGGGGATGATGATGATGCGCAGGCTGTGTTCGCGGTGTGGTCGGCACGGTTGGCGTGGACGGTCGTGGGCCTGGGGATGTGGATGTTATTGATGACCGCTATTTGGTTTCACACTTGGTTTGAGAAGGTATGTTTTTTTTTCGGTCACTCTGGATCGTGGGATTCCTGGGCTAATGTTTCCTCCCTCTGCAGGTAACGGGTCTTCTGATTGCACTGGGCACTGTTTTTACGATTTACATTCTCCCTCGGACGAATATCCCGTGGAGGGAGATTGTGGGGCTACCTGGGGTTTAGAGGGTTGGGTTTTGTGATTTTATGTCCGTGGCGTTGATAGAGTGAGGGATGTTCGAGGAAGGGGAGTTTCCTCGGGCCCTGGTTTACATACTGTACATGTTTGCATTTTTTTTACTACTGGTTGACTGACTCTGTAGAGTACGCTTACCTCAGTGCATCAGGTAGTTATATATTGCAAATTATCTAGTTGTTTGACCAGTCAAGCAATAGGTTCACGCCCGAAATAGCCCCGACAGAACGCTGTTGGATGTCAATAATGTTTCGCAAAGGACTCAGATCACTCACCTCCGGGGATCAAAGCCGCGGCATACATGACTCGCGTGATGGGCCGCAACTCTTCCGGCGTCGCATTGCGCCCCGTCTCCATCCAGATGTACGGATCCCAGCACTCCACAATGCGATCCGCGTAGGCCTTCAGCTCGACCGCGCGGTCTTTGTCCGACGCCTGCTCCGCCATGCATCGGAGGCCCAAGCACGTCCCGAACTCGCGAAAGGCCAACCGCGCGCGGAGGTCCCGGTCAAGGTAGTGTCGTCTCTCGAACAAGTCAACTGTTGATTTCTGCAGCATCAGCACCACACCTCACTCACTCATTCATCCTTTAACCACAACCCGAATCCAAAGGAAAGGAAGTCATACAAACCCGCCCCCAACAATCCTCCGCCATCCGCCCCGCCCACTCCTCCCCTTTTACGTCTGCCACCCAATGCGCCGTCCACATCGCCATCCCCAAATCCAAGGGATCCAGCGAGACGAACGCCTCCCCCTTCCGCTTAACGATCCTCCGATAATCCTCAATCTCATCCCCCAGCACCCCTTCATTTCCGGGCTGGGGGGCCTCCCCCCGAAACCACCGATCCGTCTCCCGCAGCAACCGAAACACCACCAACCCATCCACGGGATCGAGATTCCCCTCCGACGCGACTAACACCTCCTCCAGGTTGACGTCCATCTTCCACACCATTTTGGGGGATCGCTGGTGGTGGTGCGGGTCACGTCCGCTGCTGCTACCGCTGCTGCTCCCGCCACGCACGAAGTGTGGATGGATCGCCTGCGCCAGCGCCAGCGCCTGATCGTTCCAGGTTCTGTCGCGTGTGGCCACCGCCGTCCGGTTCAGCGCGAACATCCACAGTGTCAGGTAATGGTGGTATTGGCCGTCGCTGTCGGGGCCGTGGGCGTGGGGTTTGCCGATGCGGAGGCCGCCGGCGAGGGGGTTGGAGGGCGTGGCGTGCGGGAGGGGTTTCGGAGGTGAGGACCGGGTGGTGCCGAGGGTGCGGTGGACGGTGGTGATTAGGTTTGTTGCCAGAGTGAGGTAGTGGTCTTTTTGCTGTGGCTGGTTTGGGGGGTTGTTTTGGGGGTTGGTGGTTTCTCGGTGTAGGGTCAGGAAGTTGAGGACGCCGAAGGCGTCGGTCCAGAGGTAGCGGCCTCGGTGGCCGCCGGACTGGGCCGGGGGGGTCCATTGCGCGGGGTCTGAGATGGTGGTTATTGGTCCGTACAGGGATTCTTGGGCGCGGATGAAGGCGGTTAGTTTTTGGGGGTGGGTGGGCATTTTTGCTTTGGAGGTATGGGGGGTTTGATATACTGTATGTAAGTGTTGGAGTGTGGGGTATGGGGTCTGGGTCTGGGATCTGGGGTATAGATGGTGAAGATTTTGGATTGGGAAGGGATCGGCGGGTTGGAGGATTGATACCAGAGAAGTACTGAGTATTACTGGTAAGCTGTAGATCATCTACTGAGTGAATACTCGTAGATGACCCTCCTCGTTCATTGCTCGAATGTGGCAAAGATCAATCTTGTCACGATGACTCGGTGGTGATCTCATTTCGCCGCTGCCGAACCCTAATCCGACTACGGCCCAGTATATCAACTCCACGCGTACTCCGAGCTTGCTATCTATCTATCATAGCAAACACATTCCCAAAAATGGGCTGAATTCCCTTATGACGGCCAAGCTCTGGCGTCTAGCCCGACTGTTAAAACCGACTCCAAAGATGTCGCAATACCAAGACCTCTTCACCGCAGCAGCACAACCTCTGCCCGCCATCCACGACCCCAGTTTTGGGTCTCACTTCGACACCTTCGGGGAATACCGCGTCGTCCTCCTCGGCGACGGCACGCATGGAACCTCGGAATTCTACGCCGCCCGCGCGGAGATCACCAAGCGGCTGATCGAACACCACGGCTTCAACATCGTCGCCGTGGAGGCCGACTGGCCCGACGCGGAATCCGTCGACCGGTACGTGCGCCAGCGCCCGGGTCCCCAGGCTCGGATCCGACAAGGCAGCAATGATGATGACGCGCATGAGCCCTTTAAGCGGTTCCCCACCTGGATGTGGCGCAACCGCGAGACCCAGGACCTGGTCGAATGGATGCGCAACCGCAACGCGGCGCTGACCGACCCCGCGCAAAAGGCCGGATTCTACGGCCTCGACCTGTACAGCATGGGCGCGTCGATTAAGGCGGTCATCGACTACCTGGACCGCATCGACCCGGCCGCGGGGAAGGACGCGCGCCGCCGCTACGGCTGCCTGCAACCGTGGGTAGAGGACCCCACCGCGTACGGGCTGGCCTCGCTGCGCGGCATGGCGGACTGCGAGCAAGGGGTGGTGCAGATGCTGCGCGACCTGCTGGCCCGGCGGCTGGAGTATTCCGAAGATGTGCACGACGGCGAGGAGTACCACAGCGGGCAGCAGAACGCATACCTGGTACGCGACGCCGAGCGCTACTACAAGGCCATGTACTACAGCTCGGCCTCGTCGTGGACGCTGCGCGACACGCACATGGTGGACACGCTGCACCGCATCCTGAGAAGCAGACCCGCGGGCAGCAAGGCCGTGGTCTGGGCGCACAACTCCCATTGCGGGGATGCGCGGTTCACGAGCATGGGCACGCGCCGCAAGGAGGTCAACATCGGCCAGCTGTGTCGCGAGCGCTTCGGCCGCGAGAACGTCGCCACCCTCGGCTGCGGCACGCACACGGGCACCGTCGCCGCCGCCCACGAGTGGGACGAGGACATGGAGATCATGGCCGTCCGGCCCTCGAGGCCCGATAGCTGGGAGTCCGTGGCCCATCACACGGGCATCCCGCGCTTCGTGTGGGATTTGCGCGAGGGGCACATCAGTCCCCGCCTCAAGGAGGCCATGGCCGCTGAGAGCCACCGGCTCGAGCGGTTCATCGGCGTCATCTATCGGCCGGACACAGAGCGCATGTCGCATTACTCGCAGGCGGACCTGCAGCAGCAGTTCGACGCGTATATTTGGTTCGATGAGACCGAGGCGGTGAAGCCGCTGGAGACGGTGCAGCCGAAAACGGTGATGGGCATGGAGGAGACATATCCTTTTGGACTGTAGTTGTTCATTCACAGATATTTATTGTTAGTGATCAAATCCAAGCAGTAGAATGAATATGTGTATAGGATGGATGCTGCATGCATGCACGTGATCACTTATCTAAGCTTTGACGTCAGCTCACCGCCTGGCCGCGGGTTTGTTTATTCGCCCTTTTACCCCATGCCTTCAATTCTCCTCTTGTCGTCATTCTCGTGCATTGCCACTGCTGTACCCTTCGATCACACCCCTTTCATCACCGTATTTTATCACATCTCATCACCAATTCATCGCATATAGCAACTATGGCGGTCCGACGGTCCGCCCGTCTGCGCAATCGCGATGCGTCCTTGTCTGAGGTAAGCCATTTGCCCATCCGAGCATCCCACCCTCCGGCGACGTGAAGGATCAGGTGAGACTCGAGGGAGGAGAGGGGGGTGTGGAATGCTACCCTGTGCACCTCAAGTCACTGACATTGGATGACCCGCTTAGGAACCCCAGCCACCACCTGGCCCCGCTGAGCACAGTCACGTCAACAAAGATCACGTCAATACCAACAATCGGCATGACGACCAACTTTCTACAAAACCAAACAAACGATCCACAAGGAGCAAGAAGAAATCCCAACCCACGCACGAAGCGACCGATCTACCTCCAGTTATCGAACGTGAGGAGACCGCCGTTGTCAACAGCTCTGAACCCAATCCCGAGTCTAAACGCGAAGCCGACAACGCCCCTGTCGTAGCGGACAAGAAGTCTGCTCCCGCAAGCGAAAAACCTGAACCTCCTCAGCCTGCTCCTGCTACAGCCGAGGACCCCGAAACTGCATCCAAGGAAACCGTACCCGAATCTACGCGTGCCGCGGTCGCGGAGGCGGAGCGGACGAAAAAGCGATCCATCACTGCCGCGTTCGACAAGGCTGAGTCGACATTCAAGATGAAGAGCGCCGCGTTCTCCAAGAGCGGAGCGACCCCCAAGAAGGGCGCCGGCGACGCGTCCGATCGCGCCGATGCTACACCCAAGAAAACCCCCAATGCCGCGTCCGCGCGAGTCGAGGCGACCCCCAAGAGAATCACCCAGTTGACTTCGCCAGTCAAGGGCACCACCCCTTCCAGAATCCCGAGCGTTTCCACCCCGCTCAGGGCTACTCCCGCGGCGGCGAAGGGTCCCGGTGCAAAGACCCCCTCCACCGTCATGGCGCGACCTTCCCACCAGGATATGCACCCCAGCAAGGTCCACCAGAGCACCACTAAGCAGCCCGACTCCGGCTTGGTTCTGGGGTTCAACCCCGTCAAGAAGGACGCCGAGGGCAACGTAGTCAAGGACACCGCGACTGAGAGCACTCCGACCAAGGCTAGAGATTCCCCCGCGTCTGCATACTATGGTACCCCTGCGTTTGAGTTCAAGTTCGCCAGCCAAGAGGCCCAGCTGAGCGACGAGGCCAAGAAGCTCATGGAGAGCGTGCGCCTGGACGCCGCAAAGATCAAGGCGCAGATGGTCAAGGATCGGGCCAACGGCGCACAGGACAAGCCCGAGCCCACTGAGAGAAAGATCGTGCAGCCCAAGGGAAAGACCGACCGTTTCACCGATGCTCACATGGCCGAATTCAAGAAGATGGACTCCATCGCCAACCATCCCTCAGCCTTCCGTGCCGCTCCAGGTCGCTTCCAGCCGGTCATCGAGAAGAAGACTCTCAAGAGAACCAACTCAAAGGCACGACTGGACGAGACCGACAGCAAGTCGCCTTCGCCTTCTAAGGCCCCCGTTGCGCGGCCCTCTCCTGCTCCGGTTGCTGCTTCGGCTAAACGCGTCAAGCACAACCAGACTGATGACGCCTCGACCAGTCGTCTGCCTACTCTGAACAGCCCCAAGCCCGGGTTCACGCGTCCCAAGCACTCTTTCCGCAAGTCTTTGATGACTCCGACTCGAGCCTCGGCGGCGCGTGCGTCGACCGTGAGACCTGCTCGCACTTCGATGATTCCCTCGTTGGTCCGCTCCCCAGCCCCCACGCAGCCGGAAGTTCCGCGCACGCCTCAGACCGACTTCAACCCCCGGCTGAAGAGCAACATTCCCAATTTCAGCCAACTCCGGTCGATCCTCCGTCAACCCCACCAGCTTTTCTCCAAAGACCCCCTCAAGATCGCGGCAGGCACCCATGTGGCGGCTCCCGACTTCAGCTCGAACATGCTGTTCGGCTCGTCTCGGGACGCCACTGAGGAACCGTCGCACACTCCCTCTCCCAGGAAGCGCGTCGAGTTCACCCCCTGCGTGAAGGATGCCCCGGAAGAAACCATATTCTCGCCATCTCCTTCGAAACTTCCCACTGCAGGTGCCTCTCGGGTGGTTTCTGACATTGTTTATCCGACTCTACCTACCTTGACCCCGGAGCACTCCCGCAGCCCCAGCAAGATTGGCAGCACCACCAAGAACAGCGAGGCGACCACTCCTACTATCCGCCAGGTGCGTCCTTCCGACGCCACTCCTTTGCCCGAGATTGCCGGCGTGCCGCACGGTATCGGCCACAAGAAACGCAACCGTCCTACCGTTGAGGAGGAGAAGCACGACGCTAGTTCTTTGCCCGACATTGCCGGGGTTCCCCATGGTATTGGTCACAAGAAGCGCAACCGCACGGCCGTCGAGGCGGAGGATGTCGACGCCGAGAACGTGCCTCCAGCCGATAATGCGGGAGCGCGCAGCGCCAAGCGCCTCAAGATGAGCGCGCCCTCGCCCTCGCCGTTCAAGAAGACCGGTCGTGCCTCCACTCTATTCGCCAAGGTCACGGGCACTCCCAGTGCTACCAAGGACACGGCCTCGAGTGTTGCAGGTACCCCTACGCCCACCAAAGCCCGCACTCACACTCCGCTCCGCTCTGCAACCCGACCCTCGGCGGGACGCGCCAGCACCACCACCACCACCACCACCACCACCACCCCGGGCAGTGCTCGTGCTCGCGGCCGGGGCGTGCTGACCATGAGCCGTCTGCACTTGCTGTCACAGCCCAAGAGCCGTTCTTGAATGTTTGAGCGTTGCATTGAGTCGTGCGATACGCATTACAGGTGTTGAATAGCATGTGTGCAGATTCAATTTTCAGAGTCTTGAACTAGGAAGTGGGGTGGTTGCAGGTGAGCTTCTTTTTTTTTTTTTTTTCTCGCATCAGATTGTGTAGCGTGTTCCTCCGTGTCCTCTGGTGTTTTTACTGAACTGGTGTCCATATGGCTGGAAT